CAAATGGCCGTGTGGACTGAGGGGTAAGGGGAGACTGCTTCCTTTTGGGGTTTGCCCCGAACATCTTAGTGGAAAGCCTGGGGTAGTAAAAAAAGGGGCTTTGGGGAGTGTAGGCTTTGCGTCAGCAGCCTGAGGGTGGGCACCTGTCAGAAGGGGTGTGAATGCTCACGGGGCACACCTGAGCTGGGGGCTGAGAAAATAAAGGCTGCGGCAGAGAGCAAGGAGGAGAAGAGGAAGAACCAGAGCATCGCCGCTGTAAATAAGGTATCGGAATGGGGAATGGGAGTAGGGGGCAGAGGGTCCAGGGGGTGTCTGGCGCCCCCTACCGACGGTTCTGAAGTTGTCACTTTTGCGCCTGCGCAGTCGGGTGGGCGGGGGTCTGGCGCTCCTGGGGCTGCACCTGGGGCTTCTCAGTTCTGTGGGGCGGGTGTGGACTTTTCCCCATCTGGGATGTGGGTTGCCTGGGGCTTGCGCGTGCGTGGTGGGGAACCTGGGGGGCCTAGTTGCATTTTCTGGCCTTTGTCGCGGTCACTCTCCACCCGTGGCTAGAGGGGTGTGTCCTCCCTGACAGTGACCTCGCCCCTCTGCCCAGGGCGTCTTCAGGGCACATCCTGGGGGTGTGAGTGGGAGCGGAGGGTGCAGGTGCCCCTCTACCCCCTGGCGAGTGTGGCCAGGGCCAGGGGGTGCTAGGAGGGTTCGGGGAGTCTTGGGGATACAGCAGCTGGAGATCCGGGGGTCAGGGCGGGGTGCGTGCGCTCCCCTCACCCCCTCTGCTTGGAGCCCCCCTGGTGTCTCAGGGTCGTGGGCCGGGCGGGGCCTGGAGCAGCGAGGGCTCTGCAGTGGGCGTTTGGGCAGAGTGGCCCTGGCCAGAGCGGCACAGGGTGGGGCGGCAGCCACTTCCCGCGCAAGGAGCCCCGGCACCGTCCAGGGGGCAGGAGGACGCTGCCCTGAGGAAGCGTGTAGCTAAAGAAGCGTTTATTACGAATGTGACGTTTGGTCTGAATTGTTGGTCTGAACCTGGTCTTTCTGGAGCCCCGCGGGGGTGCCGCTGCCCTTTGACCTGGGGAGCCTGCAGCATTGGAGCGGACAGGTGAGGCCGAGGGAGGGAAGGGGCGCATCTGATGCAGCTGCAAGTGACGGGTCCCTCAGGGAGAAATGCACAAGTTGGTTTCCCCCATCTCTGGCAGTTCCCCCCTGCTTAACCCCTGCCCCACCAGGATGGCCCCTAGTCTTTTTTTTTTTTTTTTTTTTTTTTTTTGGTCAGCTTCAGGTAAGGGAACTTTGTTCTTCTTCTTCTTTTTTTTTTTTTTTTTTTTTTAAGATATTTACTTATTTATACAAGCACTGGGTACAGTCAGAAGCACGGGAGGATGAGAGAATTCACCAGAGCCTGAGCGGGGAACAGAACAGGCAGACTGACGAAGTACACTGCTGAGGGGAGCAGCGGGCGGCAGGAGAGGTCTGTGCGCCATGTGGGCCCCTTGCCCGGTGGCCGGGGATCCAACCGGCGCTGCAGAGGCTGTGGGCAGCTTCGCAACCCAGCGCTCAACCCCTGAGCCACCGGGGAGGCCCCCGGTAAGGGAATTTTTAAGAATGTTTTTAAAAAATAATCTTTCCCCAAAATTCAAGCAACCTTGTTTGCCCTTTTAATGACCAGTGGATAATGTAGGGTCACAGTATTTTGGGCGAGGAGGAGACATTTGTCTGCATCTCAGTGTTTATTTGCGAACTGCCAGCACCTCCAGCCGGGTGGGCGTGGCGTCCGGGAACACTTGCACGCCCAGGCCTGCCCAGCGCACCTAGCTTTACCTGCGCTGCTACCGCGCATGCGTGCTCGCCCAGGCACGGCCCTTGGCCCTGCTGACCCCGGGCTGGGGGTGAGATTCTGGCTGGGGTCAACCTGGTCTTTCAGGACCCCCGCGGGGGCGCCGCTGCCCTTTGACCTGGGGAGCCTGCGGCTTTGGAGCAGACAGGGGAGGCCCCAGCGCGCGGGCTGGATGTGGAGAACTGGGGATTTGGGGGTTCATTTTAGAGCCGGCAGGACGCAGGGGTCCGGGTTGCTCCTGCGCGTCGCCCCGCTGATTCCTGAGGCGTTTGCTCCTGACTGCGGTCCGAAGGGAGCCCGGGCAGGTCCTAGGTCTTCCCCCCACCCCACACAGGCATTGCGTTTCCATCCCCGCAGTCTACAGTGCAGTTTGGGGAACGGGTTTTCCACTTTCCCGGGGCCCATCCCCCTCCCGCCCCTGGTCCAGCAGGCAGGAGGCTGAGCTGCGTCCAGTCTCCTGGGGTGCAGGCTCGACCAGTGGGCTGCGTGGGCCTGGGGCTCTGCTTTTCTCACGGGGTCTGAGGTGCTGCCCCTGCTGGGCCTGGGCCTGGGCCCATGTCTGAGGGCTGAGGCGTGACTTCCCTATCCACAGCTGATGTGGCCATTTAGAGCCTGAAAGGGGCTTTCACACCTGGAAACTGCCTCAGGAGGCGACTTTAGACTCTTCGTTGAGTAGAATCCAGGCTTTCCTGAGCCATGAGTGACTAGGAGCCACGCGGCTGCTGCACTCCGGCTATACGTCTCTGGTTTTTTAGATTTTTTTTTTTTTTAAGTAATTGGATTTTTCTTCTCTCTCTCTCTCTCTCTTTTTTTTTTTTTTAAAGATTTATTTATTTGTACAAGCACTGGGTACGTCAGAAGTGCGGGAGGGTGAGTGACCTCGCCAGAGCTGGGAACAGAACAGGCAGACTGATGAAATACACTGCTGAGGGAAGCAGCAAGCGCGGCAGGAGAGGTCTGCGCGCCATTTGGCCAGGGATTGACCCGGCGCTGCAGAGGTTGCGGGCAGCTTCGCAGCCCTGAGCTTAACCGCTGCGTTACCGAGGAGGCTAAAATGGGTTATTATTAACAGACTCAGTATAGTTAGAGCAGTGACCCTCTCTGCATTACTAGAGGACCCACCCGAGAAACACAGCAGGTGAAACTGGGCACTGTAATCAATGAGGGGGTGCAAAGATCTTCATGGGGATCATCTGAGACCCAGAAGAGCCCTTTCCTGAGATCTTTTCTCTATGACACCTGGTGCCAAGAGGATTCCTCCTATTTCAGGGGCTGCATCAGCCAGACTCATTCCCCTGGGAACTGGGAATTTTGTAGATAATCCATGTTGCCTATTAACTGTTCTAATGTGTTAAACTATTGTTATCACCTTCCTTGCAAGCCCCTGTTATGAGAAGTTGGGCTCCTCAGGAAGGAGAAAGGAATTGCGTTTACTGAGCACCTGCTGGAGGTGACCGGAGGCCCGGCAATGCATGCATGACTGAAGTGAGTGATCTCCATTAATTATACTATAAATTTTTTTTAAGCATTAACAATCTCTATTTTAATCATATAAGTTTAACAAAAGAGCTCAGGTGTGAAAATACAAATTATTGATTGACTCAATATCTATACCGATACTCTTTTTTAATAAATATAAATTATTTTATTTTATATAATTCTTACATCATTTTTCATTTTTGCATAATGTATGCATTTTCATTTTGGTTAAATTCCCACCCCCTTATTTTGACCCTAATCCCTCTTCTCCTCCCCCTGCCCCCTGCTGTAGTATGTCTCTGGTCTATAGTTGCTTGTTGATTTTGATTTTTACTTTATTGGAACTAGTCTTTTAACCTGGTCCCTTATTTAGGTTTTTCTAAATTCCTGCTATGAATGAGACCATCATGTATTTTTCTTTTTCTTTCTGGCTTATTTCACTAAACATGATCCCTTCCAGCTCCATCCATGTTGCTGCAAATGGCATGAGTTTATCTTTTTTGATTGCTGAATAATACTCCATTGTGTATATGTACCACATCTACTTGATCCAGTCATCTATTTTGGGGCATTTGGGTTGTTTCCATAGCTTAGCTATTGTAAATATTGCTGGTATAAATGTAGGGGTGTAGGTGCCCTTTTGAATTAATGTTTCTGTGTCATGTGAGACGCATCAGGGTTTGAGGGGGACTGTGTGGAGAGACTCTAAAAGCAGAAACCTGGGACAGGTAGCTCGCGACAGAGGACATGGCCTCGCCAGCGCCCTGCGGGCTTCTGGGACGGGGTGGAGTCCAGTCTCCAGGGAGTCTGTCAACACACCTCTTGGCGGTTGCTGTCCCGTGAAGGCTGAAAAGCCCCCGGGGTGCCCTCAGCCGGGGGCATGGCCTCTGCTCTGACACCACAAAGAGCTCTGTGATGTCACCCACACAGCGGTGTAGGTAGAGCGAGGAGTGTTGGGATCGTGACGGTGGACTCGGAGGGAGAGAGAGCGCGTGTTGGTGGATTGGATTGCTTTTGCTTTATTTCTTATTCAGTTATTTATTTTAGCTATTTTAGTTATTTTATTTTATATATTATTTATTTTATTTTTATTTCTTGGTTTTTATTTCCCTTTATTGTTTTATTTGCTTATTTTTTCTTTTTATTATTTTAATTTGTTTTTTTTAACTTTTTTTATTTCCCCCATTTTTCCCTCGTGTTATTTTTGTGTGTTGTTTTTTCTCCTTTGTTTGTCTTTTTTTTTATTTTAGTTGTTTGTAATTGTTTGTTCGCTTGTGGTTTGTTCGTTTTGTCTGTGTTCTTGTTAACTTTAGTGGTTAGTTCTTGGTTTTTTTTATTATATTTTTTTTTTTTTTAAATGAAGTTTTTTTTTTTTTTTATTTTTTTTTTTTTAATAGAGGCATGTTTTATTTATTTATTTGTTTGTTTGTTTGTTTTGTTTATACATGCACTGGGTACAGTCAGAAGCGCGGGAGGGTGAGAGAATTCACCAGAGCCAGAGCGGGGAGCAGAGCAGGCAGAAGGACCGAAGTACACTGCTGAGGGGAGCAGCGGGCGGCAGGAGAGGTCTGCGCGCCATGTGGGACCCTCCTCCGGTGGCCGGGGAGCAGCCGGGGATCAAACCGGCGCTGCAGAGGCCGCGGGCAGCTTCGCAACCCAGCGCTCAACCACTGCGCCACCGGGGAGGCCCTTTATTATATTTTTAAATATTTATCTTTGTTAATTTTTTGGTTGTGTGTTTTAATTTTTGAGTGTGTAGTTAGTTAGTTAGTATTAGTATTCTAGTTAGGTGAGCATAGTTAGTATTTCTGGTAGAGGTAAGTTAGCATCCTTAGTGTTTCGGTAGAGTAGTCAGCGCGGGGAGCATTTAGTTAGTTTCGGGGATCCTTTTCAGGTACTACTAGCTCTAGGCTAGTAGTGCACTTGTTAATCCGGCAGCGGAGCTAGTGCCGAGGGCTCTAGACAGCCAGGGCCTGCGAGCATAGGAGCGGGTCCGCCCTCACTGCCCCGATGCGCCCGTCTGCCCAGGCAATGGCCCTGAGACAGTTTGTGGTGCTCCGCACGCTGGGGGAGGGCGGTTACGGCAAGGTCAAGCTGGCGCTGCATCTGCCGACGGGCACGGAGGTGGCCATAAAGATCGTGCCCAAGGGCGGCAACCGCGACAAGTTCCTGGCCCGCGAGGTGGCCTGCATGAAAGTCCTTCGGCACCCGAACGTTCTCCAGCTCTTCCAGGTGGTGGACACCGAGGACGAGGTGCTGCTGGTCCTGGAGCGCACGCAGGAGGGTGACCTGGAGACTACCTGTGCAGGTGCGGGCGCGCCGCCTCTTCAAGCAGATCCTCGCAGCGCTCAGCCACTGCCACGCCCGGGGCGTGGCACACCGGGACCTGAAGCCGGAGAACCTGCTCCTGGACCGGCACCGAAACATAAAACTCGCAGACTTCGGGCTCAGTGCCCAGTTCTCCGGGGCGTCGCTGCTCAAGACCCCCTGCGGCACCCCGGAGTTCGTGGCCCCCGAGCTCTTCCGTCGGCAGGCGTACAGTGGCCCCGTGGCGGACGTCTGGAGCCTGGGGGTGGTCCTCTACGACATGGTCACCGGGGAGCTGCCCTTCGAGGGCAACACCTTCGGGGAGCTGCGGGCCAGGGTGCTGAGCGGCATCTACCACGAGCCGCACTACCTCTCCCAGCAGTGCCGGGACCTACTGAAGAAGATGATGACGCTCGACCCCCAGAGCCGCAGCACCCTGGACAGCATCATCAAGCACCCCTGGGTGGGGCTGCCCAACGGACTCCCGCCCTGCCGCAAGCCGTCCCTGGGCCAGCACGAGGCCGCAACGGAAACCATGGTCTGCCTTGGGATCCGGAAAGAAGACATCGACAGGGCACTTTTGGAGGCCAGGTACGATGACCTGATGGGGACTTACCTCATGCTGCTCTCCAGACAGCGGGCAGACGAGGAGGGGCCGGACCCCGCCATCTCCCCCAAGCTCCTCAGTCCCCATGGGGCCCACTGCTTCCTGATGCCAGAAGACCACCTGCAGCCTGAGGTCTCGGGACACGAGACATTACGGGTGGGACTGTCCCCAAAGCAGGACGCCCAGAAGCCCACCACCACCTCCGGGCCAGGCATCCCGCAGGAGGACGCCGTCATGCAGAGCTCGGTCTCCGGCTCAAGGCCCGTGCTGCGGGAGGCCTGGGGGCCCAACACCATCTCGCTGCCAGGTCCCCTGCAGGAGGAAGCCCTGCCGCCCAGCACCACCTTGCCAGGCCCCCAGCTAGAGGGGGGCCAGGAAACCAGCAGGAAGAACTCCAGCCCAGCCCCCCAGCCCTCCAGCACCACCCAAACACCTCCCCCAAGATCGGTGGCCCCTGCAGAGACACTGGGCCGTCAACAGCATTCCCATTCCACCCTTGGAGGCTACAAGGCCAGAGCTCGGCGACTCCTTAACAGGATTGTAAAATGCTGTCTTCTCTGTACACCCTTCAGAGGAAAACAACAATCCACAGTTCACCCTGCTGGGGATTAGGATCCTCACCAGCACCTCCCCAGAATTCGCTTCCCCGCTCTAGGGAGCCACCCAGTGGCCATGGTGAAAGGAGCACACCAGTGGAGGCCGAGGCCCTGGAGAGAGCACTCCAGCCAGAGGGGCCAGGAGCAGCATGAGAACATAGGTGTGGAGCACAGATGTCCGCAAGCACAGCAGTCCCAAGAGCAGGTGAAGGGCCCAGAGGGCAACGGGGAGGGTGAAGCACCTGGAGGGGAACAGAGCAGAGGAAGGGGGGAGAGGAGGGCTTGGGGCAGCTGAGCAGGTGCAGGGCCCGGGATGGGAGTGGAGCTGTGTGGGCTGAGCCTCCAGAGGCCCCAGGGCCAGAGGCTGGGACCCCAGGGCCTTGTTTCCCCATCTTAGGTTTTATCCCGTGAGGGCCCTGTTGGCAGCCCCTGGGCACCCGGACGGTGCAGACAATGCAGGAGCTCTTCAGGCTGACTGGCGCTGTCTGGGAATGACATCCATGGTAGGAAGTCCCCGTGGACTGGGCCCCTTTTCACAACGGAGATTCCAAGTTGGAGAATCGCTCACCTGCCAGCCAGTGGTGCCTCGGTAGGGCCTCCTGGTTTCCATCTGCACTTTGCCGCATCTGAGTCCGTGCAGCAATTCCCGGGGGATGTCACTAAGGAAAGAGCCTCCTCCATGCTTGGGCTTCACTGGCTCTGCTCTTCCCATGCAGGTCCCAGAGGGCGCGAGGAGGCGGCCGCCGTGGACACACTGGTTCCCACTGCAGGGGTACCTCCAGGTGACCTGTTCTACCTGCGGGGCCCTGGGGCGTGGAGGCATCTGGACACTCTTCCTCTGCCTGGAGGAGACAGTCTGAAATGGATTGTTTAGTTAAAATGTCTATGTCAGGGCACATTAAATTGGTGTTTGAAACCGACTGTGTTTGCTCCCCGTTTATGACTGCACCCACACTTCCAACACATCGGACATCAGAGACCTAAAAATCCTTTAACATTCTTGTAATAAGCAGTGAAAAGTTTAGAAAATTTAGAAAATTTTGGAAAGCATTTAGAAAATTCTAGAAAAGTCAGAGGAGTCACATGGTAATAAGACAGTGAGACAGGAGTGTGAAGCAGAGCTAGCAGTGAGTATGGAATAAGGTATTTGCACTATTTTCTTTAGGTGTATGTGCCTGTATTGCACTGTGTGCAAGTGTTTGCATGTGAGTCTACATGAGTGTGGCAAGTGTGTGCTTCTGTAGGTATGAAGTATTCATATACCTTCTACCATCAGAAAGACACTCCGAGCTGCAAAGAATTGGTATGATATCTTCAAAAATGGGGCCTCCCGGATGGCCCAGCAGGTTGAGCCCAGCGCTGAGGGAAGTGCTGAGCCCCCAAAGGCCCTAAATGTGGCTTCTGTTCCCGAGTCCACATCTGTAGGGGGTTTAATTCTGCTCCAGTATAACTGTAGATGCAGGTCAGTTCAAGTTTTCCCAGTTTCTTGCCCTTGGTCCCTGCTCCTGGTGTGTGCCCTGGTCACCCATTTCTCTTTCAGGGGCATCAATGTTGTCCTGCACAGTGTTGTGAGTGTGGTGGTGGTGAGCCCAGTGTCTTCACTCTGCCTCTGTATTGCCTCTCCTGCGTAACCCAATTCATTTTTGGAGACCATAATTACTTCGTGAACCAAAACAACTAAATACAATAAAAAGACAATAAAACTAAAAAACTAGAGATGTTAAAAAAAAACACAAAGCCAACAACACTAACAAAATGGACCTAGATACAGACCTAAACCTTATTAAATAATGAACAAACTCAAATTGAGTCATAAACATGAAAGTAAAATGCAATAGTATAAAACTTCTCAAATAAGACATAACAATACAGATAGATGTGACTTTGGATTTGCTAATAACTTTTTAGATAAAACACTAGAAGCATGACCTATGAAATAATAAACAGACCTTTGCACTTTATTAAAAGTTTATGCTCTGCAAAAATGATCTTAAAAAGACAAGTAACTTACTGGGGAAATACTATGAAGATAGCTGCATTTAACAACATGCATTTGTCAAAACCCATAGAACTCACAGCACTAAGAATGACCCTTGGTCTACCTACATTTTAAAGAATCATTTTGCAAGTTCGTGTATCTCAGAATGTGACACAGACGATGACAATAGAATGTAACTATTACATTGTATGACACATGCTTACAGAAAGAGGTTTTGGAAAAGGTGCCATAGACTCAAAAAAGGAAAGAATTCTATGGTTTGCTCTGCTGGAAATGTCCTTTCCACACTGGCAAGGCTGCCTGGGACAATAAAGTCAGCGAGACAATAACTTTGTTTGCTTTGAAGAGTTCCTCTGGTGAGAAGCAAAGAAAATGTCCAGAAAGTCCACAGTCCTATCGTGTTTATAAGTTGCTTGACGAAGGATCATGAGGTAATGACCTGAGGGACCAGCGTGTCTATGAGCCACCTGTCAAAATAAGAGATTCCAATAAGCTTTGGTGCTTACATCTTCCCCCACACAGGTAACTCTGACTGACTCGACTTTGTAAAATCATATCTGGACTTGCTATTGGTTTTTAAATTGGGGGTTGGAGTCATAGACCTGTCAGAACATTCCTACAGGTCCAACATAACCTGTGCAATATGATCCATCCCTGGAAGGCATTGAGTTGATTGGTTAAACTGTTAACCCAGCTTACTGATGTACAAGGACTGCCCCCTGCCCTCAAGGTGATGGTGTCCTAGGGAAGAAGACACATCATCAAGGATTGAATCTAAAGTTTGTCTTTGACAAACTTTGTTTGGTTTCTTGATATTCCACAGAAAAGTAACATCATCCAGTATTTATCTTTGCCCTTCTGGCTTATTTTGCTTGCCATAATAGCTTCCAGTTCCTTTCATGTTGCCATAAATGGTGTGAATTTATCTTTTTTTGACAGCAGAGTAGTATTCCATTGTGTGTGTGTGTGTATATATATATATATACACATACCACATTATCTCTTCCATATGGCCACTGAGAATTCTTTCATTTAATTCCTCTATTCCTTTAAAAAACTCCATTTTGGGGAGGAAGTCCATTCATCTCTGCTAATCAGACAAGTATATGTTTTTGCACCTGAGGGGGGAAATTCCACTCCACGGGGACTTCCTACCGTGGATGTCATTCCCAGACAGTGCCAGTCAGCCTGAAGAGCTCCTGCATTGTCTGCACCGTCCGGGTGCCCAGGAGATACCAACAGGGCCCTCACGGGATAGAACCTAAGATGGGGAAACAAGGCCCTGGGGTCCCAGCCTCTGGCCCTGGGGCCTCTGGAGGCTCAGCCCACACAGCTCCACTCCCATCCCGGGCCCTGCACCTGCTCAGCTGCCCCAAGCCCTCTTCTCCCCACTTCCTCTGCTCTGTTCCCCTCCAGGTGCTTCACCCTCCCCGTTGCCCTCTGGGCCCTTCACCTGCTCTTGGGACTGCTGTGCTTGCGGACATCTGTGCCCCACGCCTATGTTCTCATGCTGCTCCTGGCCCCTCTGGCTGGAGTGCTCTCTCCAGGGCCTCGGCCTCCACTGGTGTGCTCCTTTCACCATGGCCACTGGGTGGCTGCCCTAGAGCGGGGAAGCAAATTCTGGGGAGGAGCTGGTGAGGATCCTAATCCCCAGCAGGGTGAACTTTGGATTGTTGTTTTCCTCGGAAGGGTGTACAGAGAAGACAGCATTTTACAATCCTGTTAAGGAGTCTCCGAGCTCTGGCCTTGTAGCCTCCAAGGGTGGAACGGGAATGGTGCTCACGGTCCTCCAGTGTCTCTGCAGGGGCCACCGATCTTGCGGGAGGTGTTCGGGTGGTGCTGGAGGGCTGGGGGGCTGGGCTGGAGTTCTTCCTGCTGGTTTCCTGGGCCCCCTCCAGCTGAGGGCCTGGCGAGGTGGTGCTGGGCGGCAGAGCTTCCTCTTGCAGGGGACCTGGCAGCGAGATGGTATTGGGCCCCCAGGCCTCCCGCAGCACAGGCCTCGAGCCGGAGACCGAGCTCTGCACGCCGGCATCCTCCTGCGGGATGCCTGGCCCGGAGGTGGTGGTGGGCTTCTGGGCGTCCTGCTCTGGGGACAGTCCCACCCGTAATGTCTCGTGTCCCGAGACCTCAGGCTGCAGGTGGTCTTCTGGCATCAGGAAGCAGTGGGCCCCATCGGGACTGAGGAGCTTGGGGGTGATGGCGGGGTCCGGCCCCTCCTCGTCTGCCCGCTGTCTGGAGAGCAGCATGAGGTAAGTCCCCATCAGGTCATCGTACCTGGCCTCCAAAAGTGCCCTGTCGATGTCTTCTTTCCGGATCCCAAGGCAGACCATGGTTTCCGTTGCGGCCTCGTGCTGGCCCAGGGACGGCTCGCGGCAGGGCGGGAGTCCGTTGGGCAGCCCCACCCAGGGGTGCTTGATGATGCTGTCCAGGGTGCTGCGGCTCTGGGGGTTGAGCGTCATCATCTTCTTCAGTAGGTCCCGGCACTGCTGGGAGAGGTAGTGCGGCTCGTGGTAGATGCCGCTCAGCACCCTGGCCCGCAGCTCCCCGAAGGTGTTGCCCTCGAAGGGCAGCTCCCCGGTGACCATGTCGTAGAGGACCACCCCCAGGCTCCAGACGTCCGCCACGGGGCCACTGTACGCCTGCCGACGGAAGAGCTCGGGGGCCACGAACTCCGGGGTGCCGCAGGGGGTCTTGAGCAGCGACGCCCCGGAGAACTGGGCACTGAGCCCGAAGTCTGCGAGTTTTATGTTTCGGTGCCGGTCCAGGAGCAGGTTCTCCGGCTTCAGGTCCCGGTGTGCCACGCCCCGGGCGTGGCAGTGGCTGAGCGCTGCGAGGATCTGCCGGAAGAGGCGGCGCGCCTCCATCTACACCAGGCGCCCGCACCTGCACAGGTAGTCTCCAGGTCGCCCTCCTGCACGCGCTCCAGGACCAGCAGCACCTCGTCCTCGGTGTCCACCACCTGGAAGAGCTGGAGAACGTTCGGGTGCCGAAGGACTTTCATGCAGGCCACCTCGCGGGCCAGGAACTTGTCGCGGTTGCCGCCCTTGGGCACGATCTTTATGGCCACCTCCGTGCCCGTCGGCAGATGCAGCGCCAGCTTGACCTTGCCGTAACCGCCCTCCCCCAGCGTGCGGAGCACCACAAACTGTCTCAGGGCCATTGCCTGGGCAGACGGGCGCATCGGGGCAGTGAGGGCGGACCCGCTCCTATGCTCGCAGGCCCTGGCTGTCTAGAGCCCTCGGCACTAGCTCCGCTGCCGGATTAACAAGTGCACTACTAGCCTAGAGCTAGTAGTACCTGAAAAGGATCCCCGAAACTAACTAAATGCTCCCCGCGCTGACTACTCTACCGAAACACTAAGGACGCTAACTTACCTCTACCAGAAATACTAACTATGCTCACCTAACTAGAATACTAATACTAACTAACTAACTAACTACACACTCAAAAACAACCAAAAAATTAACAAAGATAAATATTTAAAAATATAATAAAAAAAACAAGAACAAACTAACCACTAAAGTTAACAAGAACACAGACAAAACGAACAAACCACAAGCAAACAAACAACAATTACAAACAACTAAAATAAAAAAAAAAAACAGACAAACAACAAAGGGGAAAAAACAACACACACAAAAATAACAACACGAGGGAAAAATGGGGGAAATAAAAAAAATTAAAAAAAACAAATAAATTAAAATAATAAAAAAGAAAACATAAGCAAATAAAACAATAAAGGGAAATTAAAACAAATAAAAATAAATAAAAATATATAAAATAAAATAACTAAAATAGCTAAAATAAATAACTGAATAAGAAATAAACAAAGCAAAAGCAATCCAATCCACCAACACGCGCTCTCTCTCCCTCCGAGTCCACCGTCACGATCCCAACACTCCTCGCTCTACCTACACCGCCGCGGGCTGCGCGGAGGCTTAAGTAGGCTCCGCGGGTGACGTCACAGAGCTCTTTGTGGCGTCAGAGCAGAGGCCACGCCCCCGGCTGAGGGCACCCCTGGGGCTTTTCAGCTTTCACCGGACAGCAACCGCCAAGAGGTGTGTTGACAGACTCCCTGGAGACTGGAATCCACCCCGTCCCAGAAGCCCACAGGGCGCTGGCGAGGCCGTGTCCTCTGTCGCGAGCTACCTGTCCCAGGTTTCTGCTTTTAGGGTCTCTCCGCACAGTCCCCCTCAAACCCTGGTGCGTCTCACATGACACGACACATCCACGGGCACAACTGCGTGGGAGGAGGCCGGGGCGGCTCCCAGGGCGGCAGATGCTGTAAAGCGGGCCCTGGAGGTGGTGTCCGCCCCCGCCCCCCGCAGTGCTGTGGGGACACCCCCTGATCTGACTCAGCCGGGGCTGGGGGTAGCTGGGGCTGGTCACCTCCCCCCGAGATTTCTGGCTTGGAAATATCTGCGTCTGGGGCTCCCGTTGGCGCAGCGGGTTGAGCGCAGCGCTGTGGAGCTGTCCGCACCTCTGCAGCGCCGGTTCGATTCCCGGCCCGCCAGGGAGGCGAGCAGACCTCGCCTTTCCCGCCCACTGCGCCCCTCAGCAGTGTATTCATCAGTCTGCCTGTTCTGCTCCCCGCTCAGTCTCTGGTGAATCCTCTCACCCTCACATCTCTGGCCTATACCCCGGTTCCTGTATAAATATATCTTAAACAAACAAACAAAAAAAGACTATTTAAAAAAAAATCTGCTTCTTGCTCGAACTCGGGGTCGGGGGGGTGGGGGGGACAGAGGTTGGCAAAGGCCAGGTCCAGACGCTGTGGCCCTTTGCCCCGCCGGGAACGGCCTGGCTTCTGGAAGTAGGTTCGCATGAGCAGTGGGGGTCCGCTGCTGCTCAGGCTGCAGATTCCCCCCCACCCCAGGCCAACCCTGATCACTAACTCACAGCATCCGCTGAGGACCAGGTCTCCCCTGAGCAGCCTGGGGCGCGGCCAGAGCCCCAAGGCTCAGAGCCTGGGCTCTGGGGGTCGGGCCCGGTGGCCCCAGCGCTGCGTGTCCCAGGCCCGGAGGGCGGAGGGTGTCATCCGTCTCGGGGGACAGGACGCCCAAGGCAGGTTCCCGCGGGCCCGCCCCCCGGGGACCTGACCCAGCAGCGGCCGGAGAGGCCGTGCTGCGCCTCCTGTGACCACGGCTGCTCCCGGGCTGCCACGCAGAGAGGTCGCGGCCTCTCCCTTGTCGGAGGTGGACTCGCGGGCCCGTTCCAGTCTTTCTCCCCAACCTCCACGGCCGCCTCGGGGGAGTCCGCGCTCTGCGGCCGCCTGTGTCCACGCCCGCCTCCACCTCAGGGACTGCAAACCCCACGGAGGCTCCGCATTCCCTCTCGCCTCTGAGAACCCACGATGCCCCCACCAGTCTGGGGTGGCTGCGCGTCACGGGCCAGGGCTGCGGCGCCAGCACTGGTTCCTCCCCTTCTTCAACCTCCCCCCACACCCAGGGAGGAGCGAGAGCATCAATCAGATAATCCGCTCGCTGACCTCACGCCTTCCCGTGGCCCTACTGGGCTTGTCACTTGCCCAAAATCCCTTTGCACAGGCTTCACTGCCCCACTGGCCTCAGCCCTGCCTGCACCCGCCTCCCCTCCCTGTCCAGCCCTGCTGGGTGAGCTGCCCTTCGTTTTTGTTTTTAATTTTATGTATTTTTACATCATTTTTCATTTTTGCCAATGTATGCATATTCACCTTGGTTATAGTCCCCGTACCATTCCCAAGCCCCTTGTTGATCCTACTCCCTCCTCCCCCGCATGGTAGTGTGTCTCTGGCTTGTAGTTGCTGTTGATTGTGATTTTTACTTTATTATAATTAGTATTTTCCTGGTCCCTTATTTAGGTTTTCTAAATTCCTGCTATGAGTAGAACCATCCAGTATTTTTCTTTTACTTTCTGGCTTATTTTGCCCAAGCATGACCCCTTCCAGCTTCATCCATGTTGCTGCTAATTGCATGAGTTTATCTTTTTTGATTGCTGAGTCATATTCCATTGTGTATATGCACCACATCTTCTTGATCCTGTCATCTATTTTGGGATATTTGGGTGTCCTTCTTTCTGCCACATCCTGTTGCCACCTGGGGCATTTGCTCTTGTTCTTGCAGAATCCCCAGATGTGCCTACCAGCTCTCTGACCTTGCTTTCCTCCAACCCACATGTCATTTCTGACCGCCTTGCAGGCAGGTGCTGCACATTTCTTCCTGAACCACATCCTCTCCTCCCTTCACAGTATCATCTGCACCTAAGTCATACTAACATGTTTTCAGAATTTCATGGTAGAATGGAATTCCCTCCTGTGTCTTTTTTTTTTTTTTTTAAAGATTTATTTATACAAGCACTGGGTACAGTCAGAAGCGCGGGAGGGTGAGAGAATTCACCAGAGCCAGAGCGGGGAGCAGAGCAGGCAGAAGGACGAAGTACACTGCTGAGGGGAGCAGCGGGCGGCAGGAGAGGTCTGCGCGCCATGTGGGACCCTCCTCCGGTGGCCGGGGAGCAGCCGGGGATTGAACCAGCGCTGCAGAGGCTGCGGGCAGCTTCGCAACCCAGCGCTCAACCGCTGCGCCACCGGGGAGGCCCCCCTCCTGTGTCTTGAGCTCCTGACACAGTTTTGCTTATGGGAAGAATGCTGTTGACTGACCCAAACCAGTCCCAAAACAAGAACCTTCTAAAGAACAGTACATTTTGACTGTCCCCTTGCCTTTTTACATGGGAACTTTTTCTCACTCTCCATCAGGAAATAGATTCAAACAGTTTGACTAGGGAAACTTTGTTTTAAGCAATATTTCAAAGTACTTCAAATGACAAATGTCACGTGCGATGTCATAAAGGTTTACATCATCAGCCACATTGAGTTTTTTTGCTGTATTTTAACCTGTTGACTTAATTTTAGAAGTGCCTCACAGTCCAAATCAGTGTCAATACCTTTGTCTAAACATACAAGGAATGCAGATGGGGAGAGAAGAAGCAAAACGATCACTATTTGCAGACAATACTATCGATAATATACACTGAGAACCCTAAAAACTCCACAGAAAAACTACTCAAAATAATCAACCAGTTCAGTAAAGTAGCAGGATTCAAAATCAACACACAAAAATCAGTAGCCTTCCTATACACAATAAGTCTGCAGAAGAAGAAATCAAGAAAACCATCCCTCATATAATTGAAACAAAAAAATCAAATGCTTAGGAATGAACCTAATAAAAGAGGTGAAAGACCTATACAGGGCCTCTCTGGTGGCACAGACAGTTGAGCGCAGCGCTGTGAAGCTGTCCGCAGCCTCTGCAGTGCCTATACGATCCCCACCGGCCTTGGAGCTACCCCCATGGCGAGGCAGACCTCTCCTGTCTTGCCTGCTGCTCCCCTCAGTGGTGTATTTCATCAGTCTGCTTGCTTTGCTCCCCACTCTGTCTCTGGTGAATCCACTCACCCTCCCACGCCTCCGGCCTGCACCCCAGTTCTTGTAAGCATAAATAAACAAATCTTTAAAAAAAAGAAAAAACAAGACTATTGAATTTGCTAGCATAGTCAGTCATAGTGCTCTCATGACCTTTGTATTTCTCTGCTAGCTGTAGTAATTTCCATTTTTTTTCTAATGCTATCATAAATTTTCTCTTGCTTCCATTGTTAGCCTAGCTAAAGTTTTATCAATGTTGTTTACTGAGGAAGTAACTCTTAGTTCACAGATCTTTGTTTTGGCTTTTTGACTTGTGTTTCATTTATTTCTGCTCCAATTTAAATAATTTTCCTTCTTTTATGTATTTTAGTTATTCTTTGTTTTATTTCTCAAGTTACTTGAGGTGTACTGTTTAATTATTTATTTGGGATTTATGTTACTTCTGGATGTAGGCCCCTTCTGCAATTCCCACTCAAAATCCTTTCTCCCTTAACCTATATGTTATTTTTGTTCAAGGAGTCAATAAAAAAATTAATCTTTTAAAATGTAATTGAGTAAGATGGGTTTCCACCAGTGTTAGTATTTTGTAAGGTCTCTGTGCCCTATGTGCAGTCACCAAAGCGCACCCACTGCAAAAGCACCGCAGTCTGCCCCCATAGCCATTGTACTTTCTCCCGCGTCTTTCTCACCCCTCCCTATTCTTCTTCCCCTTGGGGACCTCAGTTCTGTGACCAGGGGGCAAGGATTAGTTTTAAAGTTTGATGTTA